TTCCCCATCTTTACCGGACAGGCTGTGGAACAGCGCCTGCGCTCGTGCTCGATCCTCGGCCGTGATCGTCGGACCTCGTTCGAAGACGGGTTCGCGAGAGTCGCCGTCGAACTTGAAGAAGAATGCACCATGTTTTGCCAAGCTCTTGGCGCCCTTAGTAATTGTGGTATGCGACACCCCGGTCGCCTCTGCGGCTTTACGTGCGGTCCCATACGTCTGTCTAGAGCTTCCATCAGCAGCTATTGCTATGATAGGCCTTCCCGGGGGCGCCATCGTGCGACTAAATTTTGCCGATACGGAGACCCCTGAGCTTCCTTATGTGTGCACGCATGTTCGCATATAGACTCAAATGCTTGATTATCATACACTTTACATACGCGGGTCCCCAAAGCTCCGGTCCGAGCGCCCGTTATCCGCCGTTTCTTGGGTCGGATCATTGGCGACGGATGCCGGTCCGAGCGGGTGCACACACGCCGCGAAGTCACCAACGTGGGCCGCATTGCCGCCATAAGGCGTCCTGATCTTACCGATGACACAACAATAGAGACCGGACGGGGGGGGTAAATATAACGTGCAGATATAACAAAGTCAATGATACCGAGTGCCGAGCATCCCCAACACGGAAGTTCGGGGTCGGACATCCAAGTTGGGTCTAGTGTTTTGAAGCTACCAAGTTGCCCTTAAACCTCGAGATCCCAAGATTCTCCACTTACAATATTAGCCATTCACTGGTGCGTTCATCACCCCACCGCTTTGAATCGCTACGATATACTTCTCGATTGTATTATGCACTGCTTTTGCCGGTCTCTCTTTGTTGGGGTTAGTGCCATTGTCAGACTCAGTATGTCTTTTCCGTGGGACATAATCTTCGTTGCTGGTGTCATCCGTCACTTTTCCAACAAACGAAACGTCGATGTTCAGGCTCTGGCACAGTCGACGCGCCTTGTCGATGGTGTCCGTAATCCCGGTGGGATCGTCCACGTCTTTGACAGTGGAAAAGAGATGGATTCGTTTCCGTTTCTTCTCGAAGCTCAAGCCATATGCCAGTACTTGCCCCACGGCATGCTTGTACTGTCGGAAATGTTTTACCTCGATGATTTCGCAAGGGCTGACAATGTCGACAAACCCATGCTCGCACTCGACTTCGGTCTGTGCACACAGCTCCGCCGCAAGTTTATTGCGTACGACCGCTTCTGGACTCTTCGTATGCTCGTCAGCCTCCAAGTTGAAAAGCGCCGCGTGTACCTCGGCGTCTAATCCCGGAAGTTCCTTCCTAGCCCGTGCCAGCCATCCCGTCACCTCGGCGGCGAACTTGGAGCTGATCCAGCTCGCCAGATACAATGCGAGCTCTGGGTGAACGAATGTCGGTTGCCCGCCCGAACCCAGATCAACCAGCAGTCTGGGAAGTACCCCAAGCCTGCGAGACAGTGCTTTGATGTAGTTGGACGTTCCTTGGAGGCTGTAGAAGTTGGTGAATTTCTTCTCTACGCCCTCGGCCAATGTCGCGCTCTGACACATCTTCGTCGCATTTACAAAACAGTCGCTTAGTCGGAGCTCCGTGATGAGTTTCCCATCTTTTCCGGACAGGCTGTGAAAGAGGGCCTGTGCTCGTGCTCGATCTTCGGCCGTGATCGTCGGACCTTGTTCGAAGACGGGTTCGCGAGAGTCGCCGTCGAACTTGAAAAAGAAAGCCCCATGTTTTGCCAAGCTCTTGGCACCTCTAGCTATCGTTGCATGAGGTACACCGGTCACCTCAGCAGCCTTGCGTGCGGTCGCATACGTCTGTCTAGAGCTCCCATCCGCGGCAATTGCCACGATAGGCCTCCCCGGGGGCGCCATCGTGCGACTAAATTTTGCCGATACGGAGACCCCTGAGCTTCCTTATGTGTGCACGCAGTTCGTATATAGACTCAAATGCTTGATTACCATACGATGTCCATACGCGGGTCCCCGAAGCTCCGGTCCGAGCGCCCGTTATCCGCCGTTTCTTGGGTCCGATCATTGGCGACGGATGCCGGTCCGAGCGGGTGCACACACGCCGCGAAGTCACCAACGTGGGCCGCATTGCTGCCATAAAGGGTCCTAATTCGTTGTCAAAATGTCCTGAATGAGCGGGTGTTTGTCGACCATGCTTACGGAAACACGGCGCTATGAGAGGTCTGCGCTCGATACTTGTACATGCAGAGGGACTCGAGAGCTTGACTACTTTTCCCTTGGCAATCATGTCCTCAGACCTCAGACCTCAGACCTCATGTCCTTAGACCCTTCTTGGTTAATACCGTGCCGACCACCCTGGCATGATGGCGTGCTGACCATCAGAAGGCGCGGACGAATGGTGAAGCTTATTCCCAATGGAGAGTCTTAGCTGACAGGCCAACGCAGATGACAGTCAATTCGATCTACTGGCGAGAGTATGACATTGTCACAGTCAACACCTCTCAGGCCCACGCATCGGCATTCTGGATGGCTGGTTCTCGTGGCCCATCCAGCAACACATCCGTCCTCGCATGTTTGCTACGAAAGGCGTGATGTGGCCAGTGAGAGTCCTATATCTCAACCATCGTTTCTTGACACATCGTTTCTTCGCAGCAGCCTTGCCGCGACCAGGCTTTGAGTGGCAGGAACACATCATTGAAAATAAGACGTTGCGGCTGCATGTGTGCCGCATTCAAAGGAGTTGGCGGAAAACAATGGCAGCGCGCAATGCCGCAGCGACGTTGATCCAACGGGCGTTCCGCATATGCATATCCGACCCCTACCACCCGATGTGCAGAGCCCGCTTGTTACGTGAATGCGAGTGTATGTCCCAAGAGTTGAGATCCCACAGCCCGCGATGCTCCCTCGAGCTATCCCGGTGGCGTCGACTGCTGCCCTGATGTTCGGGTATCTGGTCGTGGACCCGTCCGCCCGGATGGCCAGGATGGGCCGAGCCGGGGGAGCCATCCTCGAGGTGGTCGGATCTGAGAGTACCCGACTTCCTTATGTGGGGCGCGCGCTGTCCGCCACGGGAGGCGACGACGTGGAAACCAGTACACTCGTTCCGAAGGACCCCTCGGAATAATATGTTCGGTAAAGGATATCAAGGACCGACATGCCTCGCGGAAAGGAGCACCGTAAGCACAAGCATGAGATCGAGCACGAGAAGAAGGAAGAGCGAGCGGAGAGGCAGGGGGAGGAGTCCGACGGGCAGGATTTCCCACAGGGCCAGATCGACCGGGAAGAGAAGCCCGCCACCTACACGGCGCTGACCGTGGACCGAAAGGACCTCGAAGAAACACCCCCGGCCGGAGCCGAGGCGGTCGGCGCGGCTTACGACCAACAGGACGGCATCACGAAGGCCGTCGGCATCACGCTCCCTCCAGATGCGTGTCCAGATCAGATACCCGGTGTGCCGAACGTCCCGGTGTCGGCTATGGTGGTCGGGGCGGCTCCGCCGAGCGTGCCGGGGGAGAACTCCCCTCTCCCCGATCAGCAATCGGGAGTGCCGAATTGCCCCGTCGTCATAACCACAGACGGTGCGGTCACCGCTTCACAGAACGCGGGCAGCACCGCCGTCAATCCGGATGCTGCCCAGCTGACGCAGCTGCCACGTTGATTCGTTTCCCTTTTTGTAAAAAAGCCGCAAATGTAGCTAGAAGGATTCCTGAATGTGCCTGCAAGGGATTCGAAGTTTTACACGTTCTAGGGTTTTTAAGTCTTGTTAGAGGATATGATCGGCTGGGGGATCCTTCTTGAACCGGGATACAAACACTTGTGCACCGACTTAAAGAAGGTTTGGGCCCGTAAATGTTACACTGACTTCTATCAGCTATTTGAAGCCAAGATTTACAACACTGCCCCTGACTTCCACAATGATTGATCAATGGAAGCCTTCAAATCCGTGGGCGCCCTCCATCAACGTGAACACGTCCCAGCACGCGTCCGACGGCCCCGCACGCCTTACAATGAAGTGTTTCCACCAGAAACAGAGCAGGCTTAAGGAAGCTCCGATATCAAGGACTGGGTAATTTTTGCTAGGCTTTAAGAAGGGCAAGATGGTACTTACGGGTCGCAGTAAATGTGCTTGCAAAACGGCGCGGCCTACATTCGGGCTCGAGGGCGAGAAGCCCACCCGCTGCGCCTCCTGTAAGATCGAAGGCATGATCGACGTCAGAAGTAGAAGGTGCCTCTGCAAGAAGACACAAGCTACCTTTGGGCTCGAGGGCGAGAAGGCCACCCGCTGCGCCTCATGTAAGACTGAAGGCATGATCGACGTAAAACATAAAAGGTGCCTCTGCGAGAAGGCGCACGCTACCTTTGGGCTCGAGGGCAAGAAGCCTACCCGCTGTGCCTCATGTAAGACGGAAGGCATGATCGACGTGAGACATAGAAGGTGCCTCTGCGAGAAGGCGCGGCCTAGCTTCGGGCACGAGGGCAAGAAGCCCACCCGCTGCGCCTCCTGTTAGATCGAAGGCATGATCGACGTGACAAGTAAAAGGTGCCTCTGCAAGAAGGCGGTGCCTACTTTCGAGCTCGAGGGCGAGAAACCCACTCGCTGCGCCTCCTGTAAGACCGAAGACATGATCGACGTGAGAAGCAGAAGGTGCCTCTGCGAGAAGGCGCGGCCTAGCTTCGGGCACGAGGGCGAGAAGCCCACCCGCTGCACCTTGTGTAGGACTGAAGGCATGATCGACGTGACAAGTAGAAGATGCCTCTGCAAGCGAGCGCAGCCTCTTTTCGGACTCGAGGGCGAGAAACCCACTCGCTGCGCCTCCTATAAGACTGGAGACATGATCAACGTGAAACATAAAAAGTGCCTCACGAACGGATGCGGTACCGTTGTGAAGAAGCACTACAAAGGATTTTGCTTGAGGTGCTTCGTGTTCACATTTCCGGGCGAGAAGGTCTCTCGTAACTACCGAGTGAAGGAGCAGCACTTCGTAGACTACATCAGGGCTGCAGGCATCCTTCCACGTGGCTCTGAGGTCACCTTCGACAAACGGCTCCAAGGGGGGTGCTCGGGAAGAAAGCCGGACACCTTCGTTGATTTGTACACTCACACGGTGCACTGCGAGAACGACGAGGAGCAGCACCGTTACTACATGTGCGAGAACAAGCGGATGATGGAGCTCTTCCAGGATGCGGGCAACCGCCCCCAAGTGCAGCTCCGGTTCAACCCGGACGGCTACACGTCTGTGGACGGGAAAAAGCACCCGGGCTGTTTCAAGTACAACAAGCTCGGGGTGCCGGTGATCCGGAACCAGGCAATGTGGGAGGAACGCATGAATGCATACCTGGAACGCCTACAGTACCATCTCACACATGTGGCAGGCCGCGAGGTCACCGTGGAGCATATGTTTTACGATGGGTTCGAATGGAAGAGCACCGTACAAAGCGACCGAGTAGGTCAGAAGCGGAAGCGAGCTGATCGTTGAACAGTACAGAAATAACCTTTGACAGAAAGTGGAACAACAAATAGGCTAGCTACTGTGGATCCAAATGCTGCGCGCCTGATACAGCTGCCATATTCATCAATCCATCATGTATGTGCCACGTAGGCCCTGATGTTTATTGAATCGAGACGAGTCCCGAGCTTCGACCGAGATGCCCGCTCTTGGGCACGTCGGTCAAATGTCGGCGGTCTATTCTAGGTGTTTTAGGTGCGGGAGCACGAACCTCCCGGGGCCGATCATCTGAAGAGGGGCGCTGGGTTCCACAGGCCTTCGCGCTTCAGCCTCTTCATCTGCTTGACCCCCTGATCGTGCTTCAACTTGCTGATGATCTGCCCGTCGTGCTTGCGCACCATCAGATCCTTTCTGGTCAGCCCGGACCGGGTTTTCGCCTTCTCGCCGTTCCATACCTTTCGCTTGTCGTTGGCCGCGAAATTCCTCCCAGGGTGCTTCGGATCCTTTCCCATCGGAGCGGAGAGTATGATCGATGTTGTATGCTAGAGAAAATAAAGTCGAGAGCTCGATTTTATTTCCGAGATCTCGCGGCGATGTCTCGCAGGGTCCGAAGACCCCCCTCCGGTAGCTTTCGTAGATCGTCTTCCGTCAGGAGGAAGTCGACTTCCGTTCGGCCGCGCTCCTCTCTCAGCGCCTTCAGTGCATTAGATATGAGTCCCTCTTTGCTCACGAAGAGCACCTTGCGGTCCTTCCAGTCCGGAGGAGGGACGTTGTTGCTGGGACAGACCAGGAACACCGGGAGCCCTCGCAGCTCGTCTTCGAGGGTGTCGGGGCCGAAGACGGTGACGTGAGAACCCCCTTGGTCCCGCACGTAGCGCCCGACCGCGGCGTTCAGGTCCCCTCGAGTTCGGTAGACGGCCCCTTGGCGGGCTTTCGTCCTCATGTGCTTGTCCAGGTGCTTTTTAGCCAGTTTTGCTTCGGCGCCTCCCTTGACGGCCTGGAGGACCTTGCGGAGCAGCTCTTCTCTCCCTTCTATCTCTCGCCGGCTCAGTGCATCGACGCGCTGCAGTGCGGAGGCCAGAGCCCCCTGTTGAGCCGCCGACTCCGCATGTCTCCGTTCGAAAGCCTCTTTTTCTGCCTGCGTCTTCGCCAGCGTTTCGGTGAGAGTATCGTGGGTTTTCTTCATGTCCTCGATCTCTGTCTCGCGATTATGAAGCTCCTGTCTCAGGGATTCGATGACCCCTGGATCATGCTGAGAACCGACGTCCTCCTCGCATGCCTTCAGCCGTGCTCGGAGGTCGTTTTGCGACGCTTCGGCCATCTTTCGTTCCGAGGTCGAGTCTCGGAGGAGGGTTTCTATCTCTTTTTCTCTCTGCGACAGCACGAGTCTCTCTCTTGCCGTCCCGTCCTGTGCGTTACGGAGATCCGAACGCATGCTCTCGAGGTTTCTTTGGGCGGATGCCTTTACCGTTTCTCGATCTCGGCGGCATCTTTCGAGTTCGGCGGTGAGGTCTGGAATCCGCTCTTTCGAATCGTCTTCGCGACACGCCCGTACTTCCCTCTCGAGTGCGTCGATCCTACTCTCTGAAGCCCGTAGGTCGTTCGTCTGTTTTCTTAGTAGAGTCTCTTTTTCCGCTAATGATGCTTCTCGTCTTTTCGAATCATCTTCGGCGATCTCGATTTTTACTTGCAACTCCTCTCTTTCCTTCTGACAGTCGGGCAGGGTCTTTCTTTCTCGCAGGAGCTGCGCCACGAGGGTTTCGACCGGCTTCGGCGAGATTTTAGGGATGCGTAGTGCATCGTGCACCTTCTCACTCAGACCAATCGCGTCGGCACGGATGGCTCGAGAGTCTCGACTGAGTTCTACGATTTTCGGTTCCGGTCGGGCAGGGTCGGGCTGCGCC